ATGAATTATTACTTATGATTGCAGGTGTTTATCCCTGTTTTGGAACGTAAACATTGGATTCTCGTCGAGCTTCAGCTCCCATCCCTTAAGACAATAGTGTATGACAGCATGATAAATTACATATCATTGGCTGATTTAAGAGATGTTATTAAGGGATGGAGCTCTCATTTGGCTAAATTCTTGGATGCGATCAATTATTGGACTCGTTCTGGAAACAAGAAGCCAAAGAAGCTCAATATTACAGTTATTAGAGACGAGACCGCGCCACAACAAACGAGCGGAGCCAGAGGAGATTGTGGTCCTCTCGTATGCTTGGCGTTGGAGCGTTTGACGACGGGAAGCATCAAGTATCTACCTCCCACCGATAGAGATAGAGCTGCAGTAGGCTTGTGGTTTCGGCATTATATGGCTAAATCGATATATACGAGACGTTGCCTACCTGCATCCGCGTTATAAAAATGTCCATAAACAATTGGTAAGTTTATATACTTTTGGTTTGAAAATGTTTGGTTAAGTACCTAGAATTCAATAATTTGTTGTTTGTAGGTTTTAGATGTGTAGAAAGTGTTGTTTGAGCAAATGTTTGGTTTCTGCAGGTTAATCTCAGAAGTGAACTGCGTGAAAATGATGTATGGCTGCAAAAGTTGATTCAATAGTTTAATTGATTGTTTTTTGATTGTTTAATTGATTTGTAAAAGTTGATTCAATAGTAGATGATCGGAAATAAGAATTATTGCTTATTTTTGATTGTTTAATTGATTTGTAAAGATGATTTGTAAAAGTTGATTTGTGTAATTGATGCGAATATAATTCTTATTTGTGCTTGTTTAATTGATTGAAATGTAATGGTTGATTTGTTGATTTCAATCTGCATTATGTTGAAGGCAAAATTGACTATCGCAATGCGAAATGAAAATCGCAATGCGAAATGAAAATCGCAACGAGAGAATCGCAATGCGAAATGAAAATCGCAATGCGGAAATTAAAATCGCAACGGGAGAATCGCAATGCGATTTTAATTTCGCATTGCGATTCTCTCGTTGCGATTTTCATTTCGCATTGCGATTTTCATTTCGCATTGCGATTCTCATTTCCGCATTGCGATTTTCATGTTGGGATTTTCATTTCGCATTGCGATTCTCTCGTTGCGATTGTAATTTCCGTGTTGCGATAGTCAAATGCATGCCTAATAGTGATAACAACTGAATAACAAGAGTTGGTTAAGTCAAAATGGTTGGCCTGAGTCATTAATTCAACTGAAAATGTTAAAAGTTCACAAATAAAATCCACATAATACAACGTTTGCATTTAAAAATCACCTAAGTTAACAGTCCCAAAAGGTGAAGCCAATTGTGATTGGGATTTTAAAGATGATTGCCTTTTGCTTGACACCATATGAGCTTTGGATTTTGATGAGGATCCATATTTTGGTAGAGGAAAAGATGATTTTGATGGCACTGGTGATCCACATGTCAACCTTGTATGACCACTTTCCTTGCACCGACTACATGTCGATCTCTTCTTCTCTTCACCCTTAGACGGTATACGATCGTGACTTTTTGGTCGGCCAGGTAGCCTTCTGTCCATGGCTGGTGGCAAAACTGTTTGTAAGTCATCTGGTATGTCCCACTCAGAAGGATGTGGAATAGGGTAGACAATCTCGGCATAAGTCTGTCGATAAACTTCTGTAGTGTAGCAATCCATAGCGTATGCGCTTGAATCATCTTGGTTTAAATGAAGAGCAACTTTTATAACATGGCCACACGGATAACCAGATGTTTGCCATTTCATACAACTACACGTCTTTGCATTTAGATCGACTAGCCCATTTAAGTTATTATCCAGTACTTGAAACAAAGTGTTTGAACATGGTTCAACTCTCCATGACGTTGACTTCACAACACGTTTCGTTATCTTTTTTTCAGTCCATGGTGTAACACGATGTTCCAATGTTCCTGTAAATTTAAATAAACAATACTTAGTAAAATATATAAATATGACAAGTTACGAATTCAAAGAAATAATACCTGCATGGTTTCTTTTCTTGTAGTACCACTGTTGAATAGAGGCTCGAAAAAACTCCATTAACATAGTAATGGGTAATTTCCGGGAATGACGACTTAGAGCGTTGATTGATTCTGCACTATTAGACGTCATGAAACCATATCTTGCTCCAAGTTGATGTACTCTTGACCATCTTTCAAACCCGACATCTTCTAGTGTTTGAACACACTGAGGCAAAACACGTCTTAAACAATTTATATGCTTATTGAAATCCACTTCCCGATAAGCTTTTACAGCCTTCCAGTATGTCCATTTGTGCTTTTTTATACCAGCAGACCTTGATTTTAGATTTCTATACAAATGAACACCACAAAGTCCATGAAAAGCATCTGGGAAACACCTTCTAACAGCGTTGTCAATTGAGTTTGCCCTATCGGATATGATTGTCAGATTGCTAATAGGACCTATGCAATCCCTAAGATGCCCCATAAACCATGTCCATGAATCAGAGGTTTCAGATTTGCCAACCCCGTAAGCTATTGGCAATATCCCATTGTTAGCATCCATGGCTACTGCTATAAGTTTACTCCAAGGTATCGACCTTTCAAATGTGCTCCGTCAACTATAATAACTGGGCGCATGCAAGTAATAAACGAACGAATCTACAAAATAATATACACAAGAAATATAATCATTTAAATGTGAAATGCATGTAACTAACAAAAATGAGTCAACAAAATTATATTGATTTACTAACCGTAGCACCAATGGCGATAAACAGCAACTCAAAGCGTCCATCTCTATCTGTTTTGATATGAGTTACCGACCCAGGATTTTTCAGCTTTAAATTGTGACAATAAGCCGGCAGTTGGGCAAACGATGCTTCTGGCGACCCCCTCAACAATTCCAAGGCATAACATTTGGCTCTCCAAGCTTGAGAATATGATATACTAATCTTGAACCGAGCATTCATGTCAGTCATAATTTCATGTCCCCGATATACCCTGCCATTCAAAAACATTAACTCAGCCAGAAAACCACCCAACACCTTTTTGTTTGCCTGTCTATGGTGAGGAAAAACTTGGGTTCTTGAACATGTATGTTTATCAATAAAAGTCCTAACTTGAAACATTTCGCAATCTTTTATTCTCTTTGCAATCATTCGCCACATACAGTTTTTGTCAATCATACACCTTGTTTCGAAACGATCTTTGCTTGATTTGTTAACTTTTAGTTGATAGCCATCTTCCACACATTTCGTATACAAAGCTATCTTCAAGTCTTCCTTTGTATCAAAACAATCATCTTTCTTGATACGAATAACTTTTGTGTAACAATCAACTGCTTTCTTTACCAACTCTTCTTCCGGTATCTGAAGTAATTCTGGCATATTCCAGTTATACGCCCGTGGCATTTTCTTTTCTTCGGGGATTTTTTCTTCTTCTTTTTCTTCTTCAGGATTATATGAATTACAGAATGGATGTTCAACATGTTCATTCACAGTCGTAACTTCCTCCTCATTATCATCAACAATACATTCTTCGGCAACGGCTGTTTCATCATCAAATTCGGGTATTGACCAATATCAAAATCATTACACGCAGGGTCTGTTTCTTCTTCTGAAACATCATCAAAATCCGTGTATTGACCAATATCAAAGTCCGGATATTGACCAAGACCAAATTTCGAATACTGACTAGTACTCACAATTTTTTCTGTTGGCTCATCATCGTCTAACTGGTCAATACGAAAACCGGAATTTGGTGCTGAAAGTTGATTGGGATTTGGATTAGAGAAAGGTTGTGGGTTTTGAGAAAACTTAGTTGATTACTACCCGCTACTGACCCAACAATACTACTTCTAGGTTCAACAACATACAATGTAACATCATCTTGTGAAACACTAATGTAAGCAATGAATCGTTCAACATCTTCATTGTCGGTTAACAAATAAACTTTACCATTTCTCTGATAAGATAGCCTAAATCCACTTAGGGGCTCTAAATTCAATTTATTTGAAACACGTAGCATTAGAGTTTCATAAGTTAACTTTTGTAAAGACAATTTTAGTTGAAGATTCATGGGTAAAGGCATATATTGTAAAACACCATGAACATTATCCCATGACCCTCCAAAACACAAATCTATCCAAACATGATCAACATTAGATGATTTCATGGTTGTAAATTAATTTACTAAACAGACGACCTGCGAAACTAAAACCTGTTGCCGGATTGGGAAGGATGTCGTTGGATATAGGAACGGATGTCGCCGGAGAGAGTGATAGATGGAGATGGAATGAGTTGCGATTTAGGGATTTAGTTTATGATTTCAGTGTTATATACCCAAAATTTCAGTGTTGTGATTTACAGATTCTCGTTGCGATTTACGGATTATCGTTGCGATTTACAGATTCTCGTTGCGATTTACGGATTATCGTTGCGATTTACAGATTCTCGTTGCGATTTACGGATTATCGTTGCGATTTACGGATACGCGTTGCGATTTACGGATACGCGTTGCGATATACGGATACACGTTGCGATTTACGGATACGCGTTGCGATATACGGATACACGTTGCGATTTACGGATACACGTTGCGATTTACGGATACACGTTGCGATTTATGTGTTCGCGTTGCGATTTTGATATTCGCGTTGCGATTTTGGAAAATCGCAATGCGAATTTGTACTATCGCATTGCGATTTTCAAGAATCGCGTTGCGATTTTGGAAACTGATTTGCGATTCTGGGGATCGCGTTGCGATTTTTATTTCGCGTTGCGATTTTGTTGGTCATTTTGGCAAATCCAAAAAAGTTGGTTAAAATCGTATATTATAACTTTTTTTGGTCACTGAGGCGATTTTCTCTTTTAGTGGAGTTGTATCATAAAATACTACACAAACCACTTGTATTAACACCTGCATTTTCAATTCATCTCATCTCCTCTTACAAGTAATCAAACACTTTAGCCTTCGTTTGTGTTTCAACCAGCAATGGCCGAAGGAATCGCCTTTGACATCGCCGGATGGCTCATTTCTGAACTGAGCTCCCCTGTTCTGGAGCAACTTGGCTTGTGGTGGAATTTCAAAGACGACCTCGACGACCTCAAAAGCACCATCTCCGCAATCAAAGCCGTGCTTCTCGACGCGGAAAAGCAGTCCGTGACCAGCGAACTCGTCAAAGATTGGCTTGCAAAGCTGAAAGATGCTATGTATGACGCGGAAGACTTGCTGGATGATGTCCGTACCGAAGCCTTGCGGAAGAATCTGATGAGTGGGAACAAGTTCACCAAAGAGGTACGCGTTTGCTTCTCGAGATCGAACCCCTTTACTTATGGTCGAAAAATGGGACGAAAAATCAAGGCCATCAAGGCCAGATTTACTTCCATTCAAAGTCAGGCCAACATGTTGAACTTGGTTCAGCGTGACCATCCTGTGGAAACCTCTTTCATGGCCAAAAGGAGGCAGACGCACTCTTTTGTGTCGAAAGGTGAAATCATAGGGAGGGACAATGACAAAACAGCTCTTCTAAGACTCTTGTTGGAGTTTCAAAGTGAAGAGAATGTTTATGTCATTCCGATTGTGGGGATCGGAGGCTTAGGCAAGACTGCGTTGGCGCAGTTTGTCTATAACGACGAAATGGTTGAAAACCACTTCGAGTTAAGGATGTGGGTCTGTGTTTCTGATGTTTTTGAAGAGAAAACAATTGTACAAAACATCATTAAATCTGTAACTGATCAAGCACCTAGTAAAAAACTCGAAATGGATCAACTGCAAAAACAACTTCGGTACAAAATTGACGGGAAAAAATATTTGCTTGTCTTAGATGACATTTGGAATGAGAACTGGAACCTATGGATTAGCTTAAAGAAGTTACTGATGGGTGGAGCCAAAGGGAGTAGGATAATCGCAACTACTCGCTCTGAGAAGGTAGCTAAGGTCACTAGTAATTGTCGGCCACATGTTCTAAGCGGCTTGTCTGATGATGATGCATGGTTTTTGTTCAAAAATATAGCTTTTGAACAAAGATTTGCAGATTCGACAAATTCAGCCTTTGTGGAGATAGGAAAGCAGGTTTTGGAAAGGTGTCATGGAGTTCCTTTAGTCATAAGGACAATAGCTAGTACCTTATCATTTAAAGATACTGAAACTGAGTGGCTTTCTTTCAAAGATAATGAACTTGCTAGAATATCTCAAACGGACGAAAATATTTTGCCTACACTTAGGTTGAGTTATGATCATCTCCCATCTCATTTGAAGCATTGCTTTGCTTATTGCAGACTGTACCCAAAAGATCATAGATTTGATGTGCAAGCAGTTGTTCGATTCTGGATTGCACAAGGGTTTGTAAAACAATCAAATCCGAGTGAATCTCTTGAAGAGATTGGGTTCGAGTATTTTAAATGTCTGGTTGAAAGAAGTTTCTTTCAAGAGGTAGAAGAAGATGAATTTTGGAGAGTAACATGTAAAATGCATGATTTGATGCATGATCTTGCTGAATCGGTAGCAGGGAAGGAGAGCTGCATTCTAGATTCAAGTACAAGTGAGATTGATGAGAAATGTCGTCACGTATCGATTGATTTTTCATTGATGCATTTGCTCAAGGGAAAGAAATTGCGGAGTTTGTTAAAATTTTCAAGCAACTTTGAATATATGAATCATGCAAATTGGGATTTAATAATTTCAAATTGTAGATGCTTGCGTGTTTTAGAATGCAATTATTTAGGACTTGATACAGTTCCAGGCTCCATTCATAAGCTGAAACATTTGAGGTACCTTGATCTTTCTTTCAATGACCAACTTCAGGTCCTCCCAAAGAGTATTTGCAAGATACAAAATTTGCAAGTGCTGAAACTCGACTACTGCTTTGAGCTTAAAGAATTGCCAAAGAAGATTGAAAACTTGGTGAACCTTACCCATCTTCCGTGTGCTTTTTGTGCCTTAACTCATATGCCACGTGGAGTAGGGAAGCTGACTTCGCTTCAGACGTTAAGCATGTTTGTTGTGGATAAAGACGGTTCCCATGGTGCTGCTGCTGCGGATCTAAGTGAATTGAGTCAGCTCAACAACCTGAGGGGAAAGCTAAGAATAAGAAAATTGGGATTCGTGAAAAATGCAAGAGAGAAGTTTAAAGCTGCTAATTTGATAGGGAGCAACATCTACGAGAACTGGTTTTAGAATGGAGCGGTGCTAGTGAAGATGAAGAGAAGTCACTTGAAGACCTCCAGCCCCATCCTAATCTGAAGAAGCTCCGCGTGATAGGATGGAGGGGCGATGCCAAGTTCCCAAGTTGGCTTGGTTTGCTCACAAATCTGGTGGATATTGGAATATGGGTCCCAGTAAATTTAAACATCTCCCTTCCTTTGCTCGATTGCCACATCTTCAACGGCTTATCATTTTTAATATATCTGAGCTGGAGTCCATGGACGGCAGTGAGCCCAGTGGAGGACAAGATGAATCAGAATCATTCTTCCCATCGCTTACATTTCTCACGCTCAGCAACTGCCCAGATATGCAGAGTTGGTGGAGGAAAAGCCCGATCGACTATGATAAGGATGACGACAAGGATAGAAGAGCATCAACCATGGCATTTCCTTGTCTCTCCTATTTATGCATTGAAAAATGCCCTTTGAGTTCAATGCCGTTGTATCCATCAGTCGAAGATAAGCTAATCTTGGTGAATACCAGTTCAAGGCCATTAAAGCATACCATTCAAATGAGCGACACTACACCGTCAACCTCATCTCTCCTCTCTCCAAATTGAAATATTTCAAAGTGGGGAATATTCATGAAGAACTGGACTACGACATGCTAAACGAATTCCTGCAAAAGATGACTTCTCTTGAGCATCTGGAGATTATTGAACTTCCACAGCTGGCGTCTCTTCCCCTTTGCCTCCAGCATCTTGTTCAGTTGAAAAAACTAGAATCAAGAATTGCAGTGGATTGAGGTCACTCTTTCCTGGATTCCAACATCTAACAAATCTAAAAGAGCTTCGTCTAGTAGATTTGCCGAATTTAACATCGCTTCCGGACGAGATGCATGGCCTAACCAGTTTGGAAGAGTTGGATATACTAAATGTGCCCCAGTTGGAGGAAAGATGTAGGAAGGACATTGGTGCCGATTGGCATAAGATTGCTCACATCCCACGCATTCGGGCGGGTTTGGTAGGTGCCCTCCAATCCTTTGAATCATTCATCCACTTTTACAACAATATATTGTGTTTTCTATCATCAAGCTGCGATTATATCTCTTACTTGTTTTCTATCTTCAGGTTCTGGTGCAAGACCTACTGGAGGGCAGTTGAGTATTTATGTGAATTTATAAGCAGAGAAAGAGGAGGTAGTTCATCAAATTGCTTTTTAAACGTTTAAAGCATAATAATTAACTGCAATCATCTAATAATGAATGCTCCTTTTTGTCAGCATGAAAGATATACATTCCTCAGCATTCTACTCCCAATTTTCGTCACTGAAGCACAGGCCCTCAAAGGTAATCATTATCACCCAATCCTCTACTTTTCATAATCCAAAACTATGTATCACATCATCACCACATTCTATTTGCAGGAAATTTGAGAAGATGTTCTCGTCATGCAATTACCTTCTTTCTTGGAGGTTCGTAACATCTTATTGCATCAAAGAATAAATTTTAAAAAGACCCCCTTAATTTTAAAACTTGAAAATCAGTCCCAAACTTTGTGAGGGACTCCAAGGCTTTAATTCAACAAAACTACTCATAATAGTAACCGGAGTTTTTAATATCAAAGTTATTCTATTCAACCATTAACACCGACAAAAAAAACCCATTAATTTTGAATTAATCATACTATTTGAGTCGACTATTAATTTGATGTAGGCTAATGGCTTTATTGAATTTAAGGGTAAATTATCTTTAAGTTCTTTTGATTATTGATTCGATTCTATTTTGATCATTGGATAAATAATTTCATCAATTAAGACACTACACTTTCAATTTGATTTCAATTAAACTATCAAACTCAACTGTTAAGTAATCATTGACATAGCAATTAGGCAGATTTATGTGATAATACATCTCATTTCCAGAGATATCAACACAGAGACGAATAGATTGGCTAAGGGAGGAATCGGTTGAGTGCAACCATGGAAGGGGTCCATAGTTGGTTCTTATACGAGTTGGAAGGGGTCGTGGATGCTGGTTAATTGCTTTAGGCAGGTTTTCTGATTGGTGAATAGATTGTACAGGTTAATGGATGTTCCTGTTATGTACTGATGTTATTTATTAAAATAATTGGGTACTCTTTTCCCCTTCCGCAGTCTTGATTGAGTTTCTTTTAAAGCTTATTATGTCGTCTTCTTGACCTTTGTTTTTATTATTGTACGAAACCAGCCAGAGATATTGGTTTGGTTGGTGAAATGACTATTTCGTTTCCATTTAAAATTAAATATTAATAGTGATAGAAATGTAATACTATTAAAAAAAATATAATGACTTATTAGATATTTAAATTTAAAATTCAACATAAACAAGTGATCTTAGTGATTAAAGAGTTTGTTGTTATTCTTGAGGTCTCGAGTTTAAGCACTGTGTATGTAGGGATATAAGCGTTCATTGTTAAATAATTAAAAGACTTTATACATATATTACCTTATATTTACCTTAAATTTATAATAAAAAACTCAAAATTCACGAGATAACTTATAATTTGTCTAATATTTAAACTTGCAATTACCTAAATTGTAATTAGACTAAAAATTTGAGAACTCGTACTTATCATTCTTTAGTTCAACTATTACATGATTAAATATTTAATAAGTTTTTATATTTTTTAAATTTAAATATTTATTTTTATATAAACCAAAATATTATTAAACCAAAATTATATCAAATATAAAATTTTTAACAATGACCGAGCCCTCTTGAGAACTCCGTCCCTGATATTCATCCAATCCAATACATAAATTCATGATTTCAAATAATTATTATATATGATATTTTATTGGATGAGAATACTATTAAAGAAGAGTTGATTTTTCATTCGTCTATTTTAAATATTCTTTAAGTTTTCTTATATGATTGATGTTTAAGGATTTTGAAGTAATCTTTCTGTACTTCGTTACCTTAACTATTAAAGTTTTTATTTATCATACTGTCACTAATCACCCATTGTTATATTTTATTTATAATTGTCTTAAACGTATATATAGTATTATTCCACATAATATTTATAATTGTCACTAATTACTCATTGTTATATTTTTATATTTTAATTATGTAATTTGAATTTTTAAATTTTATGGGAGGAATATGTATTATAGACTTTTAAAATTTCAATTATATATTTTTATGTAATTTTTTAAAATAATATAATTTAAAGAAAAAAATAAAAAAAAATATGAACAGAGTGCCGACACTTTGGCAACCTGTACCCATAAATGTGGCCACATATATTTTGATTTTTCATTAATTCCTTTTCTACTTTTGAGACCAAAGGGCCTACTTTTATGTCTTCTTCTCAGGCCGAAGACCCTTCTTTGCTTTAATCATCCAGCCACTTGCTTGAATTATTGAAAATATTTACAATATTTTCAATCATAAATGTAAAATATTTATAAAAATAGAACAATATAACACATGCTCTAATTGCTGATAAATATGATCAATCAATTGGTCATATTGTTGAATCATTGACTATTAAAAGTTATAAAATGGTCAACCGATTATTTATTATGTTCCAAATTTATTTTTTTCGGTTAAAAGTTTGACGACGGTCTGAGCCATATGTTAACTTACTAATTGAGATAAGACAAAATCGAATCATATCATAGTTAACATATTAACGTCAAACTCATATGACTGTTAACTTTTGAATGAAAAAGGACGAGTGTATAACATAATAAGATCATTTTGTAACTTTTAATAATTGAGAGACTCAACAAAGTAACTCCCCATAGTTGATGGACCATTTTATAAATTTTAATAGTCTAAGGACTCAAAAAAGTAATATCTTATAGTCGGAATCATTTGTGTAATTTATCTTCTTCTTTTTTATAATGATTAAATGGAATTATATGACATGTCAAAGTGACTGTTGATTTTTTAATGGTGAGTGACGTAAATGAGACCAAAATGTAACGTTAGTGATTATTTTTAAAAAATATAGTTGATTGACTAAAACAGAACAAGAGTGATAGTTGGGTGACTAAATATATAGTTTAGCATTTTTTAATATTAAACAACTTTTTTAGTGATTATACGAGCCTACGGTATCTCCGTCTGAGAAACATTCCAAAGTGTCGGCATCTTCCGGAGTGGATTCAACATCTAACAAATCTGAAAGAGCTTGATCTAGTAGATTTGCCCAATTTAACACTGCTTCCGGACGAGATGCATGGCCTAACCAGTTGGAGGAAAGATGTGGGAAGGACATTGGTGCCGATTGGCATAAGATTGCTCACATCCCACACATTCGGGCGAATGGGGTAGGTGCCCTCCAATCCTTTGAATCATTCATCCACTTTTACAACAATATATTGTGTTTTCTATCATCAAGCTGCGATTATATCTCTTACTTGTTTTCTATCTTCAGGTTCTGGTGCAAGACCTACGGAAGGGCAGTTGAGTATTTATGTGAATTTATAAGCAGAGAAAGAGGAGGTAGTTCATCAAATTGCTTTTTAAACGTTTAAAGCATAATAATTAACTGCAATCATCTAATAATGAATGCTCCTTTTTGTCAGCATGAAAGATATACATTCCTCAGCATTCTACTCCCAATTTTCGTCACTGAAGCACAGGCCCTCAAAGGTAATCATCATCACCCAATCCTCTACTTCTCATAATCCAAAACTATTATCACATCATCACCACATTCTATTTGAAGGAAATTTGAGAAGAATGAACAAAACTCGATTTTACAAGAAGAATTAATCTTTTAATTTTAAATTAATCAGGCTATTTGAGTCGACTATTAATTTGATGTAGGCTAATGGCTATATTGAATTTAAGGGTAAATTATCTTCAATGTCTTTAGATTATTGATTCTATTCTATTTTGATCATTGGATAAATAATTTCATCAATTAAGACACTACACTTTCAATTTGATTTCAATTAAACCATCAAACTCAACTGTTAAGTAATCATTGACATAGCAGTTAGGCAGATTTATGTGATAATACATCTCATTTCCAGAGATATCAACACAGAGACGGATAGATTGGCTAAGGGAGGAATCGGTCGAGTGCAACCATGGAAGGGGTCCATAGTTGGTTCCTATACGAGTTGGAAGGGGTCGTGGATGTTGGTTAATTGCTTTAGGCAGATTTTCTGATTGGTAAATAGATTGTACAGATTAATGGATGTTCCTGTTATGCACTGATGTTATTTAATAAAATAATTGGGTACTCTTTTCCCCTTCTGCTGTCTTGATTGAGTTTCGGCTCAATTGAGTTAAGTGGGGGGTTTTAACGAGGCCTGTATTTCTTTTCAAAAAGATTCAGCTCGAGTTTCAGCCCTGAACATATATATACATATATGAATGTATGTTGTATTCAAGCTTTATTGAATGCGGAAGCATCAATGTCATCACTGGTTTCGTCGCATCGAGGTCGCATGAAAACTGAACGAGCCATGTACCTAAAGCCGATTGGAAGCCAATTATAACTTCTTCTAATACAAAGATTGAGAATAAAACAGTATAATGGATGCATATTTTATCGTATTTCTCGAGGATTTACGTATCGCGATCGCGTTCGTCGTGATATACTCGATTAAAATCCGCCCTTCCTCCGCCAATGCTTGTTGGTCGTTCTTGAAGCATTGACGCAACCGCAACACGTACCGGTGCATACCGGTGGGGACGTGAAGATGGAGGAGATGTCGGACTCGGGAACTAAAGCATCCGTATATATCCGTTGCTTCCCTCATCAATTCAGCTAAGAACACCAGATCACACACTGAAAGATGAAGAAATGCATTAAAAGATCCTCCGAAAGCTATGTATCATGAACTTTATATCAGCAAAATAACCAAAATTCTTAAAAAAATGCAACCACCAACTTAATTGTTCATGTAAACTACCAGTAAGAAACAGTGAAAAAACATCCACAGAGTTAAGTTCTTCATTTAGAAGTAACCATATAGGATAGAATAGTAAGATACATTGTATTAAATTATCAGTTAAAATGGTAAGATCTATTGTATTTTTAATCAACGGATTTAAATTTAAACTTTGAAAATAATATTATTAGGTGGAATAGATATAAAGAATTAAATATTATGAATTTGATGTTTTGATTTACCATGATAGTGATTCCCATTTTAGTCATGTTCTGTTCATCTTCCTTTCATCACCATGAAAGCCTCTGCTTGCTTGTGAATTTGCTTGTTGGATCATTTTAGGATGTTATTTGTGTTGCTTTCGAACATTTATGCACGTACAAATTACAAGTGGGAAGATGTTGAAACTATGAGACAGATGATGAAGGAAAAGGTTGTTAAAGCCGCTGGGTTATAGTTTGATCAAGGTAAATGGGAGAAAATATTTTATACAAAAAGAAAATTAATTTAATTTATTTATCATGCTTGTTTTTATTTAAAAATATTTTCAAGAATTTGATATAGATAGTTATTTTATACACTATCAGTGAAATTTAATTTTATACAAATGGATTTTAAATAATATCATATGTTTTCATAAAAAATATATATATATAAAATTATTTATTTTATTATTAAAATATTAAATAATGATAATTTTTTTAAAAAGAAAATATTTTTTTGAAGGTGTGAAAGAGAGAAGGTGATATCATTTTCATTAAAAGAAATTTTACAGATTAATGATGCTTGATTAGTCAAAAAGTTTGGGTTTTTAGTCAAAAAATTGATGATTAGCTAATCAACCCAAGCGTTGGTGTAACACGTGGCAATAACCCACACCACCGATGGAAAGCACTTCTCGCCAAAAATTAATTGAGTTAATTCATTATACGTCTTTAAATTAACATTTGGATTCTATATTGGTCAGCAAATTATAGTCATTCTAATCAAGTATTTAAATCATTAATATTATTTCAATCAAGTTTTTTTTAATTAGTTTAATCATTAATTTGGACATTAATTTAGATCTAATGTAAAACATAACGAGAATACGTGAATTAAATTTGATTGATATGAACACGTTAAGTGATATCAGTAGTAAAAATAAATGTTGTTTTTCTTAGAGAATTCAAATTCAAACAATTAAACCTACATAACGTGTGCGTTGTCAACAGACTACAAAAATTCTAAATATATATTATTTTATAATCATCACATATATTATTTCACTGTAACAATCTAAATTATTTCTTAAGTTATTTATTTTAACTTTAAAATATTTTATATTTAATGTATTCCATTAATTTTATTTTTAATAAGTTTTATATTTTAATTATGTAATTTGAATTTTTAAATTTTACGGGAGGATTATGTATTATAGACTTTTAAAATTTAAATTATATATTTTTATGTATGTAATTTTTTTAAAGTAATATAATTTAAAGAAAAAATAAAAAAAATATGAACAGAGTACCGATGATATGAAAATGCAGGTACTTAGATTTACGAGTACCAGACTTACGGGTACTTGGGCAACCTGTACCCAGAAATGTGGCCACCTATATTTTGATTTTTCATTATGAATACACTAATTTCGTCCTTATATTATACAATATATATATTTATATTATAAATTATATTATATTTACATTTCTTTTTCTTTCTTTTTCTTCTCAGGGCCCAACAGTGGACCAAACCCAAGTTTCCAGAAACCCTAGCAGTTTCCCTCCTTAGCGCCGCAATCCTTGCCTCACGAGTCCTCGCCACCCACGCTTCCCTCAGCCGATCTTCTCGGCGCCATGAAATCCTCAACACCAACAAACGTAAGCACGTGAAACAAAAGCAAAGCAACGTGCATTAGTAGGACTCCAAACAACCAAACCGAGTCTTACTCGGATTCAATCTCTAAGGACAGTTTATTTCTTGTACTATAAATAAGATGTAACCCCATTGTATTTGGGGGGGGATACACAAAAAAATACGGAAACAACCACGCATCTATAGCAAACATAGAGAAGCAAGCCGAATCTTTGTACAACGTTTTGAAAGGAAATAAAGGTAGCATTTTTACCTTATTTTGTTCGTTCTTGGCTACTCGCATGCGTAGTTACTCGCGTTTTGTGCTTGAAATCACCAAAGAAAAACGTTTTGGCCGATGACAAAGGAGTGGATCTTTTGAACCTTCGATCTTAGATTTACACTCCGAGGCTTGTTTTGAAAAGAAAGTATTCGGATATTCGGAAAAAGGAGGCAAAGGGCTCTTAAAAAATCGAAACTTTTTTATATTTTGTCGCCGATGAACGGCGGTCGGCGCCAACAACGGTGGCCGGAGTCTGGGGACTACGGCGGCGTTCATGTGTTCATCAAGAACACATGAACCAGGCAGAGGAAAAGAGAGAAATGGGGAAGGGCTCGGCGAGAGAAGAAGAGAAATGTTTTGAAAAAAACGTTTATTTACATATATACAACCCGTGAAACCAACCCTGGAACCCGACCCAATCTCCTTCAAACCGGTGCGTTTTGATGAAAAGGGGGTGAATCGCGTTTTTGTTCGCTTTCTTTCAAAACTTCCATTTTGATCCCAGAATTGAATTTGAACCCTGATTTTTCTTTTAATTTGGCCACTGGATTTGTCATTCTTTTCAATTTAACCCCTGATTAAGATCAAGTAACGTTTTAGTTTTTAATTTCATTTATCCATTTGCTTCTTATTATTTAATATATTACGTTTATTTTTTTATTATTATTATGGTATATTATGTATATATGTATATATTTACATTTCCTTTCCGTTTTTACCTTTTTTTTATTATTATTATATTATGTTTTTATTATTCTGTTTTTTCTACTATTATTAATATTTTTTCCTAATATTTGATTATTTAGTATTATTATTATTATTAAATATATTTATATGCTCCTAGTTATTTGTTTTATCTAATACAGGCTATTATTTTATGTATTTTTTATTTATTTATATGTGTATACATTTTGTATTTTATCTTATTATTTCTTTACTCTTTTTCTTATTATATTTATCTTCATTATTTAGTTTTTCCGTTACTATTATATAGATTTTTTTTCTCATATTCAGTTATTATATATATGGAATTAATTTTATTATATGTTTTTTTATTAACTTTACCTTATACGCTATTATTTTACATTTTTATATACATATGGACATTTTATTTAATTCTTATCACTTTAAATTTGTATGTTATTTTATTTCACCTTTATTATGTTTTATTTATTTATTTATTCCTTTTTTATTTTATTTGCACATATTTGATTATAGTTATTTATTTATTTTAGTTTTTTTCATTATTACTATTATATATGTTTTTTTATATATATCTTTATTATTATTACCATCATTTTTATATTCTATATTTTCCTCATCTTATTAGTTTTCCATTTTACCTTAGGTGTTTTATTTGCATTCCTTATCTAATATATGTCTCGATCTTTTAAGGGTACAATTTAAGCAATCTAAGGTAAGTAATTTGGATCGTCATTTTACATTTTAATTTAAATCTACAACTTTCTTAATTAAAGACAACTGGAAATTACATAGTACCGAAAGGGCAGTTTAAGGGTGCTAATCCTTCCTTAGCTGTAACCGACTCCCAAATCCGACATATCTTTGGTAAGATGCAGATCAGGTAAGATATAAGGTATCCGATTAACCTATTTATTTTTAGATAAATAATCGGTGGCGACTCCAATCAATTTTTTCTAAGTCGAAGCCCAATTCCGGGGCCCAACCGAAAGACGGTTACGACAGCTTGGCGACTCCGCTGGGGACACAGGTAAGTGAGTCAGGCTAAGGTAATTTCCAGTTGTCTTTTTAACGAAAAGGGTAAGTTTAAATTTTAAGGTAATATTTCGATCCTTATTACTTATTTTTGATTATATTTTTCGAGTAAATAGTTGGACTGACCGTTTTCTAATGATTTCAGCTTTCCAAACATTTTCATCTAAGGCTCTAAACCCGAGCTCCGAACCCTATTTTAAGTGGGGGTGAAAGCGACGCCTTCGTGTGAATTTATTCACCGTGCGGGCCTAGCAAGTAGCCTTCGGGATTCATATACCTTATGTCTTCGTGTGAATTTATTCACCGTGCGGGCATAAGGGAATGTGTCCCCTCGAGTTTAACTTAGTCCATACAAGCCTGTGATGGGTTTAGGACTAAGGGTCTGGCAAGCCCAAGGGG